GAGTCCTATGTCCTGATGTACTGTAACAGAGGGAACAGTGAGATGTAATATACATGAGTCCTATGTCCTGATGTACTGTAACAGAGGGAACAGTGAGATGTAATATACATGAGTCTTATGTCCTGATGTACTGTAACAGAGGAAACAGTGAGATGTTATATACATGAGTCCTATGTCCTGATGTACTGTAACATAGGAAACAGTGAGATGTTATATACATGAGTCCTATGTCCTGATGTACTGTAACAGATGAAAACAGTGAGATGTAATACTGTCATACCTCATTAGCTGTTTGCAATCAGTCGAGGTAAAACTGTTATACTGTCCTACCTCAGTAGCTGTTCACACTCAGTCGAGGTAAAACCGTGATACTGTCCTACCTCAGTAGCTGTTTGCAATCAGTCGAGGTAAAACCGTAATACTGTCCTACCTCAGTAGCTGTTCGCAATCAGTCGAGGTAAAACTGTAATACTGTCCTACCTCAGTAGCTGTTCACACTCAGTCGAGGTAAAACTGTAATACTGTCCTACGTCAGTAGCTATTTGCACTCAGTCGAGGTAACACTGTGATACTGTCCTACCTCAGTAGCTATTTGCACTCAGTCGAGGTAACACTGTAATACTGTCCTACCTCAGTAGCTATTTGCACTCAGTCGAGGTAAAACTGTGATACTGTCCTACCTCAGTAGCTGTTCACAATTCACAATCAGTCGAGATAATACTGTGATACTGTCCTACCTCAGTAGCTGTTACTGTCCTACCTCAGTAGCTGTTTCTGTCCTACCTCAGTAGCTGTTACTGTCCTACCTCAGTAGCTGTTCGTACTCAGTCGAGTTAACACTGTAATACTGTTCTACCTCAGTAGCTGTTACTGTCCTATCTCAGTAGCTGTTACTGTCCTACCTCAGTAGTTGTTACTGTCCTAATTCAGTACCTCAGTAGCTGTTACTGTCCTACCTCAGTAGCTGTTCGTCTTGCACCTTCTTTTCTATCACATTGGCAGCCTTGCATAAGATGGAGGACTTGCCATACCCTTGTCCCCCTAAGATCAGCAGTGGCATATCCTTCTCGTCCCGGAATATATAGTCCTCGATCTGTCAACATATCGTGATTTGATGACCATTTACTAAGCTGTTTATATATGATCATCCCCTACATATCTATATGTATATACGTTATCATGAGGTTTACAAATTTAAATTATCTTACGATTATCTCTTCATATTTCAGATTTATCTGACTGTGGAGTGTTTAAATCTAGTCAGTCTTTCTGCAGAGCTAAAATAGCTGCTTGTAAATGTTAAGTGATTAAGTAAAGCAGCTGGGACTCAGCTATTTTTCTTCACTTTTTTAACTTTTGCAGTTTCCTTTTTAATGATATTTTTTTAATCATATTTCCATAGAAACCATAAGTATATCAACATGTATGCCTTTTGGGGAATTAATGTTTAAATATATACAAGTGAACATCATCTGCTTTGTGTTTATAATGAAAGCTGAATAATTTCTTATTGAGAGTTTCTGTGATTGGCATAAGCTGGGATTATCCCTGGCAGCGAAAAAACGTAAATGAATAACCAATCATCAAACAACCAACCTTGCGGATGACATCAGATCTACCGATCACAAATTCGCCTTTATTCTTCATAAAGAATTGATGTTCCAATTTGGTATTGGTATCTTCCCTTGTAGAAGACTGGGGTTGTTCCCCTAGGAAGTCGTAAGCTATCTTCCGTCTACAAAACTCTGTTACCTACAATTATACAAGAAAAAGTTTATATACTTTCACTGCGTTTACTTTTGCTCAAATGTTTTGGATATCTTATTTCATAATGAGAGAGTAAGTTTGTTAATGATAGCTACATCAAATATTCTAGTTAATGAGACAAGGATCTTGATTTGTATACATCAATCTGCATAGATTTAACAAATCAACTAAATACATGTAATCATATTGATAATCAGAGAAATACAGAACAGAAGAACAAATTCAAACCTCTACACAAAAACAGTTCTAAGGTCCCTACATCTTCAAGGATCCAGAGCTGAAAGTGATTTTATTAAAACAATGTGCCTCAGAGAAGCCCTACAATATACAGTAAAACCACCTACCTATATATCAGGTGGGTATATAGTTCTCGAGGAAATCAAATGTACCATGCGGTGGTATATAAGATACAAAAGCATTCTATCATTTTAAATAGAACAAATAATGGACTACACTCTACCCTAAAACCCTCCAATAGGTCAGTGTACAACTAGCACTATAGTCTTGGACACTTTAGGTGGTTTTTATATTTTATGAGATTTTGAGCGACAAATACAACTTATTTTAATAATTCTTACTTCCTTTTAGCCTCCAAAACATTACCAAGCATTTTTCTATTAAAATCTAATGTGACAATGTTTCTTTATTTACTACTACAGAACACAAGTACAAACTTTGATGATTTCCTTGTGAATCATTATTTCTGATATAATAATAACACATATTTTTTTTAAATGTAATTATCTAAAAGATTTATTTGACTTCTCTGTTTTGTTCACAAACAATCCCCAAAACAGAGAAGTCAAATTAACTGAGATAGATTCTAAGGGAGATAATACCATCTGTGTGAAGGAGTCCTCTAACTGTACCCGTGGCCTCTTCTTCTGGTCCAATCCTATGTATTGCACTTTATACTTGGAAATTCTACTGGACTGCAAAATAATATTTGTATGTGTTGTATATATTTCTGAAACGTGACAAATTATTACATTGTATTCTTCATGAAGGTTTAAAGCAGGAAACATGGGCATATTTCCCCTAGTGCTGTAGAAGTGGAAAGTCTAATGGTGAGAAAATGTTTACGTTTTTGTCGCATTGAGTAAATAAGTTAACAAATGTCCACAAGTGAATATTTATTTATAGAATATACAGATTATAGAGCAATAGACTATAAAGATTTCAGAACTTTCGCCAGCAAGAAAAAATCCACACCACCATCAGTTTAAAGATTCACAACATGAACACTATCACACGCAAAAATTTCGCCTTTACAGTATTCAGCAAGAAAAATATGAAACCCAAACAGGCAATACAAGCCCATGTACCCTCATAAAACCCAGACAGGTAACACAAGCCCATGTACCCTCATAAAACCCAGACAGGTAATACAAGCCCATGTACCCTCATAAAACCCAGACAGGTAATACAAGCCCATGTACCCTCATAAAACCCAGACAGGTAATACAAGCCCATGTACCCTCATAAAACCCAGACAGGTAATACAAGCCCATGTACCCTCATAAAACCCAGACAGGTAATACAAGCCCATGTACCCTCATAAAACCCAGACAGGTAATACAAGCCCATGTACCCTCATAAAACCCAGACAGGTAATACAAGCCCATGTACCCTCATAAAACCCAGACAGGTAATACAAGCCCATGTACCCTCATAAAACCCAGACAGGTAATACAAGCCCATGTACCCTCATAAAACCCAGACAGGTAATACAAGCCCATGTACCCTCATAAAACCCAGACAGGTAATACAAGCCCATGTACCCTCATAAAACCCAGACAGGTAATACAAGCCCATGTACCCTCATAAAACCCAGACAGGTAATACAAGCCCATGTACCCTCATAAAACCCAGACAGGTAATACAGGCCCATGTACCCTCATAAAACCCAGACAAGTAATACAAGCCCATATACCCTCATAAAACCCAGACAGGTAATACAAGCCCATGTACCCTCATAAAACCTATGTACTGCAAATCTACTCAATACAAGGGGTTTATTAGAATCCACTGCAATATTTATAAAACATGTGTCTTTATTTATTATCTGAAATTGAAACACAGAAAATCACAAGAAAAATAATTGCATACATTACATTTCTAAAATCCTTCTTACATCCGTACATGTGAGAGTTTTGTGTCTGTATGTATTCTTTACAAGACAGATTAAAACATAGTAAGTCATTATGACAATTACATTGGTGTTAACCTCTGAAACCTCCAATGAGGGAGATCTACCCTCGTTTCCACATTTCCAATGAGGGGGATCTACCCTCGTTTCCACATTTCCAATGAGGTAGATCTACCCTCGTTTCCACATTTCCAATGAGGGGGATCTACCCTCGTTTCCACATTTCCAATTAGGGAGATCTACCCTCGTTTCCACATTTCGAATCAGGGAGATCTACCCTCGTTTCCACATTTCGAATCAGGGAGATCTACCCTCGTTTCCACATTTCCAATGAGGTAGATCTACCCTCGTTTCCACATTTCCAATGAGGTAGATCTACCCTCGTTTCCACATTTCCAATTAGGGAGATCTACCCTCGTTTCCACATTTCCAATGAGGGAGAAAGTGTGTGAAATGGGACTGAAACTGCTCTGCTCCATTTATCTTTCCCTTTGTATGTATCAAAATAACTAAAAAAAAAGCATTCCTTTGATTCAGACACACCTGTTATGATCATTACACACATCCTGCAGTAACTAGGAGATCATTTGACCACAGAATGCAGATTTTGAGTTTGTTAAATTTTGGTCAAAATGAGGGAGAGTTGACAGCTATGTAATCATTACCAGAGAGTAAGGTGATATTTAATATACATGGAAACTTGGTAAACACCAGTAAATAGAACAGGTAAACACTTACAGGAAACTTTTGAGAGATTTTATCTCCAGCTGCCTTTATCTTCTGTGAAGCGGCTGTGTCTCTCACAAAATACTTTATCTCGGTGGCCGGCACCTTGTCCAGGAATTCATCTTGTCGCACCAAAAATAAAGCTGAAGCAGCAAAACAGAACCCATTATTATCAATAGTTTTTTTTAAATGCAGCAGATTTAAATTCAATTCAGTCACTTTTTCTAATCAGCACCCTACCATTTTATAGTGAAACCTGTCTTACCTGTACCATTTAATATAAGGAAGAAACTTATGTAAATATTACAGGTTTTTATGTCAGTTGAAACTACTGTATGTTATCTGAAAACATGTCATTGTATGAAAAGATTGGTCGGGATGTTTTTGGTTTAGACAAGTTTCATTGAATCAATATGCTAGTGATTCTTATGTTGGTTCAGAAAGTTCCCACAAACAACTCAAACAAATTTTTATGACATCATGGCTGCTTTCTTTTATGTGTAAGTACAGTTCAGTCAAATGTTTAAATTCTATGGGAGTAAATTGATACACACGCCATGCACACGCCACCTGCTTAAATATTACAGGTCTATAAACTGTCACCTATACCTTCCAAAAAGATGGTCAGATGACCAGGTCTCTCCCTATAAACACTGTTACCCTGATGTTCTGTCTGCTTAAGAAAGAGCTCCAACAATAATAATAAACAGGAAGTGACATTACAGTGATGTAAGTACAAGCTCCAGAAATTAACAGGAAGTGACATTACAGTGATGTAAGTATATGCTGCAGAAATTAGCAGGAAGTGACATTACAGTGATGAAAGTACCTGCTGCAGAAATTAACAGGAAGTTACATTACAGTGATGACAGCACATGCTGCAGATATTAACAGGAAGTGACATTATAGTGATGTCAGTACATGCTGCAGGAATTAACAGGAAGTGACATTACAGTGATGTCAGTACATGCTGCAGACATTAACAGGAAGTGACATTACAGTGATGCAAGTACCTGCTGCAGAAATTAACAGGAAGTGACATTACGGTGATGTCAGTACATGCTGCAGACATTAACAGGAAGTGACATTACAGTGAAGCAAGTACCTGCTGCAGAAATTAACAGGAAGTGACATTACGGTGATGTCAGTACATGCTGCAGACATTAACAGGAAGTGACATTACAGTGATGCAAGAACCTGCTGCAGAAATTAACAGGAAGTGACATTACACTGATGCAAGTACCTGCTGCAGAAATTAACAGGAAGTGACATTACAGTGATGTAAGTATATGCTGCAGAAATTAACAGGAAATGACATTACAGTGATGTAAGTATATGCTGCAGATATTAACAGGAAATGACATTACAGTGATGTAAGTACATGCTGCAGAAATTAACAGGAAGTGACATTACAGTGATGTAAGTACATGCTGCAGAAATTAACAGGAAATGACATTACAGTGATGCAAGTACCTGCTGCAGAAATTAACAGGAAGTGACATTACAGTGATGTCAGTACAGGCTGCAGGAATTAACAGGCAATGACATTACAGTGATGCAAGTACCTGCTGCAGAAATTAACAGGAAGTGACATTACAGTGGTGTAAGTACCTGCTGCAGAAATTAACAGGAAGTGACATTACAGTGGTGTAAGTACCTGCTGCAGAAATTAACAGGAAGTGACATTACAGTGATGTAAGTACCTGCTGCAGAAATTAACAGGAAGAGACATAACAGTGATGTAAGTACATGCTGCAGAAAATACCAGGAAGTGACATTATATTAATGAGAGAGTATACTGGTGTGACACGTACAGTTATGGTTGTCCTCGCGGTAGGCCCCGTACAGCACCTCTAGATCCTCTACCAGTAGACCATAAGCAGCAATGAAATCCTCAATCTGATCGTCAGTGTGTTCTCCCCACATCGGCACCCATCCCAGCGAGTCACTGTAACAAAGGCCAGGAAATCGTTTTAACCTCCAATTTTTGCAAGTAATCTTACATTGTGTAAGGAAAACTATTAACAATTTGTTACTGATGTCACAAAGTAATGATTATATTTAATATTTATATACTGTAAGAATCATGGCAAACACACAACTAACCTGGTTATGTTCAGGAACAGGGGCATCACATTATGGAAGTAACAGGACTCGATGCTGGTCTGTATCTTCTCCTGGTCGCACACATCCCTCCGCTCGGGGTGTCTTGAGCCCTGGACAGACACAATAATTGTAATATGATCAGAATATAGGATAATAATAAATATAGTGTTCTGGGGTTATTGCTGAACGAAGTATTTAATGGTGATCAGGATAACAATGAGTTGTAAATCAATTCTTGTACAGGTCAATTATATACCTGTTTCTGTTAATTGTCCTTAATCAAAGTGCTGCAAATCAAGATTCTAGGAATAAAAACTCACAATGACATTTAGACATTTCTCTTTCCAACAAAATCACACAATCAGAAATCTGAGAAAAATATAATACCCAGTAAAAATAATACAAAGAGATGAAAATCCAAATAAAGGGAATCAGTGACCCAAAAACACCCAATCAATTTCATCAAGATATTTCACTGGTTAAAAAATGACCATCTGGACAATAAAGTTACAGAACACAGATGGATGCTACAACTGGTGTATGAAAATTGGTGTATGAAAATTGGTGTATGAAAATAGGGTAATTCCATAGTAATTTCCTTTACATTAAGTAGTACAGACATGCACACTTTGATGTTCCATAGAAATATTAGGGTAGGACAGAATTTAAATGGTTGAATAGAAATTTGAAACATATGTAATTTATTTTGGTTAGCTGTATTTTTTTGTCTAAAATTCATTAATCAACCTGTCAAAGATGTACTATTTCATATTTAGAGTACCGGTACTAGCCAAGTCAAATTTTGAAAATTCTATGTAGTGACGCTCAGCCTATAGTTTCATATTAATACTGAAAATGTCCACTAGCCCTGATGTAAAATATGCTTGTCCCAGGTGTCTGTACACACCTGTCTGTACACACCTGTCTGTACACCTATCTGTACACTCAACACTCCTGTCTGTACACTCCTGTCTGTGTCTGTACACCTGTCTGTACACTCCTGTCTGTACTCCTGTCTGTACACTCCTGTCTGTACACCTGTCTGTACACTCCTGTCTACTCCTCTCTGTACACTCCTTTCTGTACCCTCCTGTCTGTGTCTACACTCCTGTCTGTATACCTGTCTGTACACTCCTGTCTGTACTCCTGTCTGTGCTCCTGTCTGTACACTCCTGTCTACTCCTGTCTGTTCACTCCTGTCTGTACACTCCTGTCTGTACTCCTGTCTGTACGCTCCTGTCTGTACACCTGTCTGTACGCTCCTGTCTCCTCCTGTCTGTACACTCCTGTCTACTCCTGTGTGTACACTCCTGTCTGTACACCTGTCTGGACTCCTGTCTGTACACCTGTCTGTACTCTCCTGTCTGTACACCTGTCTGTACTCCTGTCTGTTCACCTGTCTGTACTCCTGTCTGTACACCCGTCTGTACACCTGTTTGTACACTCCTGTCTGTGTCTGTACCCCTGTCTGTACACTCAACACTCCTGTCGGTACACTCCTGTCTGTGTCTACACTCCTGTCTGTACCCCTGTCTGTCACTCCTGTCTGTGTCTGTACACTCCTGTCTGTCCACCTGTCTGTACACTCCTGTCTGTTCTCCTGTCTGTACACCTGTCTGTACCCTCCTGTCTACTCCTGTCTGTACACTCCTTTTTGTACACTCCTGTCTACTCCTGTCTGTTCACTCCTGTCTGTACACTCCTGTCTGTGTCTACACTCCTGTCTGTATACCTGTCTGTACACTCCTGTCTGTACTCCTGTCTGTTCCCTCCTGTCTGTACACCTGTCTGTACCCTCCTGTCTGTACACCTGTCTGTCCACTCAACACTCCTGTCTGTACACTCCTGTCTGTGTCTGTCCACCTGTCTGTACACTCAACACTCCTGTCGGTACACTCCTGTCTGTACACCTGTCTGGACTCCTGTCTGTACACCTGTCTGTACCCTCCTGTCTACTCCTGTCTGTACACACCTGTCGACTTCTGTCTGTACACTCCTGTCTACTCCTGTCTGCACACTCCTGTCTACTCCTGTCTGTACACTCCTGTCTGTCCCCCTGTCTGTACTCCTGTCTGTACACTCAACACTCCTGCCTGTACACTCCTGTCTGTGTCTACACTCCTGTCTGTACCCCTGTCTGTCACTCCTGTCTGTGTCTGTCCACTCCTGTCTGTACACCTGTCTGTGCTCCTGTCTGTACACCTGTCTGTCACTCCTGTCTGTGTCTGTCCACTCCTGTCTGTACACCTGTCTGTGCTCCTGTCTGTACACTCCTGTCTGTGTCTACGCTCCTGTCTGTACACCTGTCTGTACCCTCCTGTCTGTCCTACTGTCTGTACCCTCCTGTCTGTACACCTGTCTGTACCCTCAACACTCCTGTCTGTACACTCCTGTCTGTCCACCTGTCTGTACACTCAACACTCCTGCCTGTACACTCCTGTCTGTGTCTACACTCCTGTCTGTACCCCTGTCTGTACACTCAACACTCCTGCCTGTACACTCCTGTCTGTGTCTACACTCCTGTCTGTATACCTGTCTGTACACTCCTGTCTGTACACTCCTGTCTGTACACTCCTGTCTGTACACTCCTGCCTGCCAAGCATGCATTATGTCCTACAGTAACTACTGATTGGCTAGTTTACCTAGAATACTTACCCACTTGACAAAGTGTTCCACCAGAGCAAGCTGCTTGGATTCACACCATGACCGCAGATCTGGCAGGATCTGATGTTAATTTAAGAGAAATAGAAAATACATGTATGCAAAGTTTAAAATGGAGAAAACAAATTGATTACTTCACTCACTTATATGTTTATGCTTTGGTATAATTTCTAGAACTTAATCATTATCAATTTTAGTCTTATGATCATGAAAGGCCTTAGGCAGCTGACTGGCAATATGGAATACTGGTTCTCAGCTTGCATTTCTGAAGGGAGAATAAGGGACACAACTCCTATAAAACAGCTGGATTGAGAAAGTATGGACATGCGAAAACTTCAATGTGGGATGGCTACATCAATAAAGTCACACGAAATATGGATTTAAACTGCAAAAGTTTTCTGGACAGGGTTTTGCTAATAACAAACATAGCGGAAATAAAAAACATAGCGGAAATAACAAACAGCGGAAATAACAAACAGGGCGGAAATAACAAACATAGCGGAAATAACAAACATAGCGGAAATAACAAACAGCGGAAATAACAAACAGCGGAAATAACAAACATAGCGGAAATAACAAACATAGTGGTAATGATCTAAAAAATGCAATTACTCAAGTTCAAGGTAGTTCAGAGGCAAACTGCAGTAAGACCTGTCCCAAAACGATTCTGTCTACAGATAGATGGAGTGACAGACAAGTTCTGTCTACATATAGATGGAGTGACAGACAAGATTCTGTCTAAAGATAGATGGAGTGACAGACAAGATTCTGTCTATAAATAGATGGAGTGACAGACAAGATTCTGTCTAAAGATAGATGGAGTGACAGACAAGATTCTGTCTACAAATAGATGGAGTGACAGACAAGATTCTTTCTACAGATAGATGGAGTTACAGACAAGATTCTGTCTACAGATAGATGGAGGGACAGACAAGATTCTTTCTACAGATAGATGGACTGACAGACAAGATTCTGTCTACAGAGGGATGGAGTGACAGACAAGATTCTGTAGAAAGAATCTTGTCTGTCACTGCATCTATTTGTAGACAGAATCTTGTCTGTCACTACATCTATCTTTAGACAGAATCTTGTCTTTCACTCCATCTATCTGTAGAAAGAATCTTGTCTGTTACTCCATCTATCTGTAGACAGAATCTTGTCTGGCACTCCATCTATCTGTAGAAAGAATCTTGTCTGTCCCTCCATCTATCTGTAGACAGAATCTTGTCTGTAACTCCATCTATCTGTAGAAAGAATCTTGTCTGTCACTCCATCTATTTATAGACAGACAAGATTCTGTCTATAAATAGATAGAGTGACAGACAAGATTCTGTCTACAGATAGATGGAGGGACAGACAAGATTCTTTCTACAGATAGATGGAATGACAGACAAGATTCTGTCTACAGATAGATGGAGTAACAGACAAGATTCTTTCTACAGATAGATGGAGGGACAGACAAGATTCTTTCTACAGATAGATGGACTGACAGACAAGATTCTGTCTACAGAGGGATGGAGTGACAGACAAGATTCTGTAGAAAGAATCTTGTCTGTCACTCCATCTAGCTGTAGACAGAATCTTGTCTGTCACTCCATCCCTCTGTAGACAGAATCTTGTCTGTCACTCCATCGATCTGTAGAAAGAATCTTGTCTGTCACTGCATCTATTTGTAGACAGAATCTTGTCTTTCACTCCATCTATCTGTAGAAAGAATCTTGTCTGTCACTCCATCTAGCTGTAGACAGAATCTTGTCTGTCACTCCATCTGTCTAAAGATAGATGGAGTGACAGACAAGATTCTGTCTACAGAGGGATGGAGTGACAGACAAGATTCTGTCTAAAGGAAGATGGAGTGACAGGCTAATTCCAGTATAACCCCAACCCCACCAACACACACAATGTTTATTGGGAGATATTAAAGCTTAAACATATAATTTCTTGTCTCAAAGGGAAAAATTTCAATTATCATACATTTATGCAATAACATGAATTACATTGGCTTGCAAACATACCGGGTATATTCAATGAAGTATGTAAATAACACATGTTTGTCTACATTTCTATTGTAGCATTTAATACTGGCAAGCCAATGGACATTTCATATAAATTTAAGTATATAGCTTACTGCAAGTTATACAAAGGGATTTTGTTACATAAAAGGTTGCAATACTGCAAAAACATACCAGTAGGTCAAAAACCAATACTAATACCTATAATCCCTTTATAGAAATTGTCCCACAGATCAATGAATATAACTGTCCCAGATCATCAAAACATAAATTGTACATATGTCATAAGTTACTAAATAAATAGGGAGGTGTGTGTGACCTTGAGACAGTAACATGTACAGTACCTGTTTCCTTATTACATCCCTCTCCGAGTGAAACTCATCGGAATACGATGTGATGAAGATCTTGACGGTGGATTTCTGGCCATTGTTGCTGTTTTTACATGGTTTGGGGGCTCCTCCTGTGGCCATACTTATCCTAGTCTTACATCCACACCTGCAAAAATACACTCATCAGTTGGTCGGATAACACATTGGGATTGTGATCTTGATCTATTTCAAGAAGAATCTTCAATCCAGTAAAGCATCTTTACTTAAGGAATTTTTCGAACTTGAATAACAAGATGAAAGCATCCTTCGCAGATACAAATACAAATGTATGTACAATCGGGCACTTTTCTTTTCTTTAAGTACAGATGGGAGTGTTCCAAATGGTGAAATTTAGTTTTTAATGAAAATTACCAGATTGGGTCCTGAAGCTCAGAAAACCTCTCTAGATCTTTCATTGCAAATATGTAAATTTGATAGAAACCACTGATTAAAGCAAAACTGCATCTTCACAAGCCAAGGGTTACGATCCGGTTCGATCTACCTTCTCTTCACAGATATAGAGAGGAGAGGAGGAAGACTGGATCGTACAGGATCGTAACCCTTGGCTAGCGAAGATGGCAAAACTAAAGCACTTGGTAAAATACAGGAAAGAAAAATTTTAATTACTTATTCTCTACTCAAGGAACAGTGATGTGGAAATATAACTAACCTCTGTTGTGCTTAAAATTCCATATATAGGTTAATTTTAAGTGATGTTTACTATATTCACAGACAAGTAAGAATCACATAGTCTTTGATGTAATAAAAATGTTTTTCAAGTGTGACAACATGACAGTAAACTTTGTGATCAACTCTGGCACAGTTTTAATGTTTATTCATGTCATGTTAATTATATTTCCTGATCCAGGGGGTAACAAGGAAACAAACATATCTCTAGTATGTTTTATTTATTTGTCAAGGATCTCTCATCTTGACTACCCTCTGGTACCACCTGATACACCACCTTCAGGCTAGCTGTTCCTACTGCACACAAGCAAACAGCACTCTTGGATTCCTCAGAAGGAATATGAAGATGTCAAATGAGGATCTGATGTTCTGTGTGAATATTTTTAAAAAAAATGGGCACATTTGCTGTAACTTCAAGTACTACTCCTCTGGTCTGGAGAGTAGCCTGTTACACCACAAATAGATACCAAAACATCAGTAGTATATGTAACATGACAGTGCAGTCCCGCCAATGGGATTTTTTTAAAATGCATGTGTCTCATGATCAAGATCCAGCTAAAGTCTAGGTACCAAATTCCCCACCCATGTGTCATGACTTAATAGACATTAGAGCCCATGACAACCTGAAACCCTCTACATCTCTGATCTAACAGAATCATCCCTTTAAAACTGCTGTCATTCTCCCTTAGTCCGCAAGACTGAGACCACTGAATTTACATCGGTCAAGCAGTGGCGGATCCAGAGGGGTTTTTTGGGCTTCAGGAAACCCCCCCACCCTGAGAATGTTCTTTAAAAATCATGTATTTCACCATTTTCCTCAATTTTTCCCCACATGGAAACCCCCCCAGGAAATTTGGAACCCCCCCCCCAGATAGGTCTCTGGATCCGCCACTGGTCAAGCAAGGGCTATTTACTTTCTAGCTTTCCAAATGACTAACAGAAATAGCTGTGTCAGTAAGGGCTTGTCCCAGGGGCTGTTACAGTAGCCAGACTGGTCAAGCTATTGGTTACATGTTATTTTCAGTCTGCACAATTTCTTTTAATGTAGCAGTTACTTTTAATATCATTCTTATTTGTTTGGTGAAATTTGTTTTTAAATGATAAATATGTATGTTTACAGACCAGAGTTGTCTTAACAATATTAATGGAATCAGTGAAAAATCAAACACCTATCTGTTATTCATTCCAACAGTCACTGCAAGACCTTAACAATGACTGGTCTGTGTAATAAAATAAATAACATTATTTAGAAATGGAAAAACACTCACTTTAATCTAGTTTCATTTTAACTATTTTTTTAATAACACAACATCAGTAATCAGTTAGTGCATGGCTCATCATCAAGTACTGTATTGATGGGTTCCTATTGATAGTTTCATCGATGCCTAGTATACGTACTCGTAATATGTCTAGTGACTAATAAAAACATGTTCATATTTAGACAATGCAGTAGGTCTTATACACCATCTTGTCAGGACCTCTGCAGCTACCGAGTAGCTGTCAACAAGTGGGTTCGGCAAAAATCAATTGGAACCACTGCGTAACTGTTGAACTTATAATAATGAGGCACTAATCATTGGTCAGTCGAGTATTAGTCAATCACGTAAGGAATGTCGCATTAGACAGATATATTGTAGACATTATACGATACAATTCTTGAACGAGGGATGTATATTGAAAGTTACGGGAACTTTTTCACGAGTTGATCGTCATCTGATTGCTGCAATCAATTCCAATTCACGATAATCAATGCGTCGTATCTCCTGTTAAAACTCAAACGCTCCAAAATTCCATGACGAATTTATGCATAAATGTAATGTCATGCTAAACAACCGGTGTATGTACTAAATAGTTACCCGAAAGTCCCGTTCTCACGTCACCCATTAACATGTCTCCGTTGAAATTAGCAAAACATTCATTTCCGACCTTCGCATGTTGACGTTAACGTTTTCTAACTTCGGGCGTAAAAGAATTCTTTAAAAATGTAAGAGTTATTTCCCTTATACTGTATTTTATGGCGGGAAATATATTATATATGATAGAACTGCCTACCACCCTCATATCAAAAAACACTATATTTCTGTGGTTTGACCAGATGACATTATAATCGAATATAACTAAAACATAAACTTATTATCAACAAGCACCGGCCATGTACAGCAAAATACTAAAGCAAAGACCATATATATGTATATATATTCAAGCCTGTAAGAGCGGTAGCTCCGAAAATTTGACAACCTAAACTTGTCCACACTGTTGGAATTACTTCTTTGCCCCATATTACAGTCTGTAATATATACGTCTCTGCATAGACGTATAGATTCTATAGCGATCCATTTCAATATGAGCCTGATAACTAATTACAATGTTGATATATGGAACTGTGTTGATGTGTAGGGAGTACATGTATATAGACTAATTATAGACGTCATTTAGGGTATAGAAAAGAAGAAAAACCAAGAGATCCCAGAGGGATCTTGGCACCCACCTTTGTACCATCTTCATTAGTTATTTGTCTGTTCGATCTTTTCTCTTCTTTCCTCTAATCTGTTTGATCGAGTCATGTTAGTAAATGCACATTGAGGTAAATTTTGATCTAAACTTAATACTAATGTGTATGAAAGCCAACCTTCAAAGTGAGTTTGTCATTTCACATATTTACTAGTACAGTACTTACTGTGAAAGAAATAGAATCGATCATTGCAATATGAGAAATATCTGTTTAGTTCTTCTTTTACTCCATTTTATTTTTATGATTAGTCTCAAAATATAACATGCACAACGAGAGATCAAGGGGAACTTACATATAAAATTTGAGAAAGATTCCTCTGGTACTTCTTGAGAAATAGCGATAACAAACTTTCAATATCAAAATCTAAGATGGCTGCCTGTCGGCCATGTTGTTTATCCGATCAGTCTCAAAAAATGCCCTGCATAGCTAAGGACGAAGGGGAACCTAGATATAAAATTTGAGAAAGATCCCTCTGGTACTTCCCGAGAAATAGCGATAACAAACTTTCACTATCAAAATCAAAGATGGCTGCCTGTCGGCCATGTTATTCATTCAATCAGTCTCTAAAATTGCCCTGCACAGCTAGGACCAAGGGGAACCTACATATAAAATTTGAGAAAGATCCCTCGAGTACTTCTTGAGAAATAGCGATAACAAACTTTCAATATCAAAATCCAAGATGGCAGCCTGTCGGCCATGTTGTTCATCCGATCAGTCTCAAAAAATGCCCTGCACAACTAAAAGGACCAAGGGGAACCTACATGTAAAAATATGAGAAAGATCCCTCTAGTACCTCTTGAGAAATAGCGATAACAAACTTTCACTATCAAAATCCAAGATGGCTGCCTGTCGGCCATGATGTTTATCCGATCAGTCTCAAAAAATGCCCTGCACAACTAAAAGGACCAAGGGGAACCTACATGTAAAAATATGAGAAAGATCCCTCTGGTACATCTTGAGAAATAGCGATAACAAACTTTCACTATCAAAATCCAAGATGGCTGCCTGTCGGCCATTTTGTTTATCTGATCAGTCTCAAAAGTTGCCCTGCACAGCTAAGGACCAAGGGGAACCTACATATAAAATTTGAGAAAGATCCCTCTGGAACTTATTGAGAAATACCGATAACAAGAATTGTTTAAGGACGCGGCCTACTTGAAGAAGTAGTCTAGATCACCTTAGCGACATAACGAAATTCAGTGAAGTGGAAAATATTGATCACGGTCGGTGATGTCATACTCGAAATTCCATTGATTACGCTCATTTTATTATGCGCTTAGAGAACGTTTGAGAGCGTAACCCCTGGAATTTCAAGGATCTAAATGTCTGTCCATGCGGATTGTCGACTGCCAAATTTCTTTCTCGGATACATGTAACAACCTTGTATATTTCGTCCATTCTCTACTGCATAATCTGTGGCGTGGCTGCCAATAGGAAGTGTAGGGCTAAGGCAGTACCCTCAATTTCGCAATCCAATGAAATAGATATATTAGACACGTAGGGGAGATTGATATCCGGTGATTTTCATGGATTTCATGAAGGTTTTTGACAATGTTCACCGGCACACCACAGACGAATTGGAAAAAACATAAATTAATTAAGGACTATATATATTTATAAATGACCAAATCCCTAATTGTTTTACAAAACTTTCTTAATCAAAGGAAACGGAAATGCATCTAAAAACCATCCCATATTAAGCGGAATACCTCAAGGAAGTGCCCTAGGTCCAGTATTATTTGTCATTTACATTATAAATGAACCTTGTCGAATACCTTCGTGTTTGCCGATGACAAAAAAAAGTAAAAATAGGAGCGATGAGGATAGAAAAGCGATCCAACAAGACCTGGATAATTTACAGGTCTGGTTCAATACACGCGACTCTTTTAATTTCCCCCTCTAAATGTTAAGTACTTTCAATGAAAGGAAAGGAAGTGAGAAGCTACCACATGGCTAAAGCAGGAGGAGATGAAGCTAGGCTGGAAAATATATCCTCTCAAAGATAGGATTTTTCGTCTCATGTTCAACTGCAGGCAGTAAACTAGACAAATAGCTTTATGGGGCTGATTAGAAGATCCTTTGTATATTTAGATGATGTATCTTTTAAAACAGCTGTTCAAGGCGTTGGTACGTCCACACTAGGAATACACGGCAAGTGTATGGAAACATTGAGAAGGTATACAGTGAAGGCAACACAACTAATACCTGGGCTGAAGGAACATTTAACAATCCCGCCTACCTCTAGAGTGCATTATGGTCACCTCTTCGTTAATGTTTAATGGACCCTCCATCCAAACTTTGATGTTTAATGGACCCTCCATCCGAACTTTGATGTTTAATGGATCCTCCATCCAAACTTGTGTGTGCTGACGTAAGATATCACAAATAGATTTTAACCAATCACCCGTTTCCCTCTGCAGTATACTGAGAGTGGTATTAAGGTGAGGGTACTGATTTGAAATCGACACTACAATTTGTATTATAAGAAAAATGTATATACCCAAAAATGTGTCCTGTATGCCTTGGTCTACACTTTTGAAACTAACATGAAAAATGTCCTCGTATGAATATTATCAGCATTTTTGAAAGTTTAAATGGCTAATAAAGCTTTCTATTGTGAAGGTAATGAATACGTAAACCTTCTATGTGTCCTTTCAAAACATTTATTGTTATTACAACAAGAGGCCCATGGGCCTTAACCGTCACCTGAGTCCTACATTATTTATTTTTGTTGTTGAAATATGTACCAATTTGAGTAAAAAATTGTTAAGTATAACGTTAACTTAGTTTGTCAGGACCATGAGCTGATCATTCCTAGACCGATTTGCAGTTAGATCGGCCTATTAGAACTTGCTTTTAAGTTTGAAATAGGTATTTTTAAAATAGAGGCCATGGCAGCCAAATTGTATTTCTGATCGACCCGAAAAATAACAACACTTTGTCAGGACCATGAGTCGATCATTCCTACAAAGTTTCAGTTCAATTGGCCTAACCGAAATTGACTTTAAGTTTGAAATAGTTTTTAAAAATGGCGGCCGTGGTTGCCATATTGGATTTCTGATTGACCCGAAAAATAACAACACTTTGTCAGGACAATAAGTGGATCATTCCTACAAAGTTTCAGTTCAATCGTCGAAGTGGAACTTGACTTTAAGTTTGATTTTTTTTTTCAAAATGGCGGCCGTGGCGGCCATATTGAATTTCTGATTGGCCCGAAAAATAACAACTCTTTGTCAGGACCATGAGTGGATCATTCCTTTTAAGTTTCAGTTCAATCGGCCCAGCAGAACTTGACTTTAAGTTTGAAATAGTTTTTCAAAATGGCGGCCGTGGTGGCCATATTGGATTTCTGATCGACCCGAAAAATAACAACACTTTGTCAGGATCATGTGTCGATCAGTCCTACCAAGTTTCAGTTCAATTGGCCTGGCAGAACTTGACTTTAAGTTTCAAATAGTTTTTCAAATTGGCAGCCGTACCTTGATTTGAGGTAGCCAGAGTTTCCTCTGGCCCCGACATCAGACTTATGTATTTCGACGGATAGATATCTGGTGTGGGTTGTGACATTGTAGATTTCTGTTGTCAGCATCTCAAAACCCTCCAATACCAAACAGTGTCGGGGACGTATGGTAGGGACTCTTGCCCCACACCAGACATCTAGCCAATGAGGGTTATTAATATAAGTTTAAATAACTTGTTTCATAATTGTTGCATGATAAATAAAGTTTATTTTTTTATATCTTAGCATTCTACTGGCCAAATATAATGATCCTAAAGCTCTTGATTATTTACTGTTTTTTTCTTCAGATTTTGAACACAGTTGAATTCTCTGATATTGAAAAAAAAATCTGTCAATGTATTTATTTGAATAAACTTGATAATCCTGCATCCTAGCATGCTACACGTAAAATACAATGACCAGAAGTCTGTTGATTGTTTAACTGTTATTGTAAGTGGTTTTGACTTTTCCACATTTGACCATGTGATCTTGAAGGAGTAGGTGTCAAACTGGATCAAGGTTTGTAAACTGAACAAACTTCATCCTAAGATCACATACTCTCAATGCAATGTACCTTAGGCTCTTGCTGAAACGGACTTATTTTTTTGTATTTCACCATGTCACCTTGCAAGTGGTTCCTGATCATCTACTCAACGAAGTTGATAGCCTCTCGCCCTACCATACTACTGGCTTGATTACACAACAGG